GTTCAGCCCTAGCCTCCCCCGTCAACACCAAAATCTTTAATAAGAAAGCAAATACAGGATATTGATATCTCTTTCTCACAATCCAATATGCACTCAAACTCCTAGTGCAAAATCAATATACTTAGAGACAACATATATTCCACTGCTGATAATTGAAAACGAATATCAGTCCAAACATCCGACTGAAATAGCTGCCTTATATCTCAGGCAGCATATGCATCTAAATAATGGGGATAGATGCCGAGAATCGTATGAATGTATCTTAATAGAAACAGAATCAGTTCTCATAGTCCATCATTCCCGAAACAATGATAGTGAAATAGCATATTCCAAATTTCAAATAAAAAAGGTTATCACTTATAAAGAGTGGGGACTGGGCCCCTTGAAACCCAGGATCATCAAAACAAAAGGATTTAAAATCAAATCCTACCATTATTATGAATATATGAAGGTTTGGGATGAAGTCTTCGCGTACCAAAATATGAAAAATTCTCACAGTTGGTGCATACAGTTTAAAATAAATGACCCAAATGCATTCCCAAACTGGTTTAAAAATTGGTTCTCCATATGGGGATCCACAAACCAGATACTTCCAACAGAACTCCAAATTTCTCAGAGAAAATTCTCTGATTTCAATAAGAAAAGTTTAAAACGAAACTTTCACTTATATTTTATGGCCTGATATCAGGTCCCATGGATTTTAAAGTGGGAATATCAGATCTCCTCAGATGACATGGACAGATATGATTATGTCCCTGAATTACACAGACACATTCCATTAAATGGCGGGATAGTTTCAAAAACGACTCCCTAATTCCCAATAAAATCAAAATGAAATTTATATCCTCTTCTCCACCTCCTAAGATGGACATTTTCGAATACGTGGTCCTTCTTCAACAACAAAATCCATCCATGATAAAAGACGAGCTTAAACTCAAGATCTGGGAAGCTCTCGAGGTTACTGATGAAACCTTGTCTACTCAAAGCGATGAACCTGAAGATTACACTCCCCTTAATGAAGATGATTGTTACGACATCAAATTTCCTTCAAACTAAAGCAAATTTCGCGGGGGCAGGACGACTCCAAACTATCTAGGACACGGACACGAACCCCTAAAAAAGTCACCTTCATCACCAACAAAAGCATCACCGACAAAAGTATCACATCACTGACAAAAGCATCACCGACAAAAGTATCACATCACTGACAAAAGCATCACCGACAAAGTCACTTTCATCACCAACAAAAACATCATCTTCCTGTAGCAGTTGTGTGGTTACTATAGCAAAAAAGCAATCCACCGACAACATCTTACTGTAGTACGGTTACTGTAGCAAAGTACGGTCCATCGACAGCATCTTACTGTAGCAGTAGTGCGGTTACTGCAGTGCCGGTGGGATTCCAAATATTTGAAATCCGCCGAACCTAAGGTCTATAAGAGGGAGAGACCTAAGATCACTCGGACATCCTGGAGTTTCCAAGTGCTTTTAGCCTTTCTGCTTAGCCTCTATGTTTAGTCCCTCAGCCTCTCTGCTTAGCCTCTCTGCTCAGCCTCTCTGCTTAGCCTCGCAGCCTCTCTGCTTAGCCTCTCTGCTTAGCCTCGCAGCCTCTTTGCTTAGCCTCTCTGCTCAGCCTTTTTGTTCTCAATCTCTCTGTTCTCTGTTACTTCTTTGCAACTTCTTTGCAATTTCTCTGTTACTTCACTTCTCTGTTCTCTGTTTATTATAAGTTCTCTATTTCTCTGTATATCTGGTAGTGTATCAAACCATTCAGTTTAGTGAGTGTAAAAGTATTATGTGTGATTGTTTTTGGGATGAGGTTCTTGCGTACATCCCGGAACAATTAAGGCTTTTCACCAGCTTCTGTATTTGTCAGATGTAAGTATGTTTTATTATTAAAGTCTTTATTGTGATTAGACATTGTTCTTCTATTATAAGATTGCTGTATTACCTGGCTTTGTTTATTGTTTAGTTGTTATTGTCTGTCTGTTTTAGTTGTTATTGTCTATATGTTTATTTTCCCCTGTGTGTGCGCTGTGCTCATTCTAGTTAGTTTCTTGTTTTCCATTTCATTAGTTGTAAGTTGCTTTCATTTGTATAAACCCGACAACTTTCTCTCTCTCTCTCTCTCTCTCTCTCTCTCTCTCCGTATCTCTTGAACAGTCTACGAGTAACTGCTGGCCGAAGTTACATATCTTGCACTCGTTCTTTGTAGTTAGTTGCTTGTTTCCCATTTCAGCACGTGTAATTTTATTTTATTTGTACAAACCCTTACAATCTTTTTCATTTTATTTTATGATAGTGAAGTCGAGTTTTTTCTTTACAGGCAATGACCTCTTTAGGGTTTTTGTGATTCACACACGCACACACAGAATATGGCATATGGTATCACAGTTTAACATTGTGATTCAAGTTCTGTGAGTCCTGAGTTGACTTTTCTTTGTATGGGACTGAATCAACTGAATTTGGGGAATCTATCAAGTCTCATAGACTAAGCTAAAGTTTAACAAGTCAACTTGGATCAGGATTATAGTTAGCCCCAATCTTAGTCTCTCTATTTAAACTTTGAAATATAGAATGAATATCTATTGTATTAACAATATATTCACATTGTTTTTTTTAATTTTTTATTGTTGAAATACCTTATTGTATTTTAGATAAATCATGTTTATATATTCTTTGCAGATTTATCATAATTCCATAAGTATCCTATTTTTTTTGCCCGATTCTAATGCATTATTTTCGATCCATATTATATTTTATATTTATTAGTGTTTTAAAAATCGCCTATCTAGATCGGAATAGCTCGATTCGGATCGAAAATCATTGTAGACGTTCCAGTTCGCATAATATATCGAGAACCGGGCGTGTACCCTTTAGAACCGGGCTGTTCGAACCGATCTATATCGGTTCTCTGGTAGAACCGACTAGTTTTGTCAAAGAATCAGTATGGACCGAATACACTTTTTTATTTTTTATATTTTCTGGTTCATATTTTTTTAATGTTACTTTTGGTTTAACAACGGGCAGCCGTGTGGCCCCACTTTTTCCTGGCAGGAGGCTTACGCGCTCTGCTTACTTTAGCACCTAACACCTTGACATTAGTTATACGCATTCAACCCCCCTTGCCTTTCATGTATTAGCGGTATGGGACTAAACGTCTCCTTGTTTTGTAATAACCTCTCATGATAAAGTTTTAATTACTGTTTTATCATATGCTTGGCCTCATTCTTCAAGCGTTTTTTTTTTTTAACGTCGCATTCTTTAAGCTTCTGCAAGCCACGAAAGCCAATTCAAATTAGCATTTTAGTAGCTTAATAGGAAGATATAAAACACGAAGTAAATGGTCTCTTTACCATGTATGAGATGTAAAAAATAGCAAAACAATGTAAGTTAACACATTCTTTCAAAACGTTTGAAAAGCCCAAAAATATAATTAAAGAGATTAATTATTTCCAAAAATCCCAAAAAATAATTGATTTTTTCCTAAAAAGCTAAAAAATTAATTGTTCAACGAATGCTTGGAAAAGGTAGTAGATAATTATGAAAGTTAAAAAGAAATATCATTAATGAAATGGAAAAAACAAACCAATGTATGTTTAAAACTGTAAAACATAAACCAATGGGCATGGCTCATCATTGTTCAACCCATAAAACAGGAGAAAGCAGTAAAAAGGAAAAATAACAAAAGAAAAATTAGTAGAACAAGGGGATTCACTAGGAATTATTTATACACAGCATTGTTTTGTTTTTATTAAATAAGGTATTTCTTCCATAAAAAGGCCAACAATTGTTGCCTGTGAAATGAATGTAATGGACAACAAATACTCAGACGTTAGACAGGTTTTAAGTATTTACATATTTTTGTTAAAGTAATGAAAAACCATAATGCAACACCACTTTTTTTTTGGAAATATAAAAAAATAGAACTTTTATGAAATTTTGATGATTTTTTGAAATTTTTTTAAGACTGAAACCAGCCGATTCGGCTGATTCTCTGATCCGGATCACCGATCTGACCCAGTTTTTGGGATGGCTGATCAGGGTAACCAATCTGTTTTTTATTGCCTCAACATTTATACTTCCAGTGTTACTTCCATCCGAAGCATATCCTATGCCATTATGAACATTCTCTTCATCAATAGTGGACCATGCATGTACATGTATCAGGAGATCTCTGCACTTGAGATCTGTTGATGTTTTGAGGAGCCTTTTTTTTTTTTTTTCATTGGTAGCAGTTGTGAATCCAGTGAATGGTAAGTATCTCCAGGAATCATTTGAATTCTGGCACTGCTAGAATATAATCATTTTTTTTGGGGGTCCATAAGGGGTCTCTATCCTTTGTGATTATTATTTCTGGAAAGCATCCTTGGTAGTTAGTTGCGAAACTAGATGGAACTGGTCAATAAATTTTGATCCAACACATTGTGTAGTCCATTCTTTGTCACCATAGAGGGTTGCAGATGTACTTTGGTGACAGTTTATACCATACTTTCTGGCAGTTGGTGGCCTATCCATTTCAAAGCTTTTGCAAACGGTTCATACCTAATATTTAGACAGTTGGGGGGCACATGGCAATGGAATCACTTAGATGGTAACAAATACCTGAGAATATCCTTAATGGGTGGCATAACTCATATTGCTAAAACATCTCAGAACATGCTTAGCTTCACTCATTCATTATGTTCAAATTAGAGTTACTGACTTTTGTTGTTTGTTACTGACTTATGAATTAGTTTTGTTGTTTTGGATAATCGGATCAGTGCTCATGTGCAGTTTTATTTGACCTGAGAATAGGTTTTCCTGATAATTTCCTTTTTCTTTTAATCTGCGGTTTTCCCGATAATTTTCATACATCCAATTCCTATGATTGTACTTAAGAATGCTTGGTATTGTAAAGAAGTGCTCACTTTCAGTAGACATTGGCTTTTGTGATGAATAGTTCTTTTTTCTTGTTTATTGTTATATTAAACTCAAAATTTATATCTAATCTTTAATAGCCTTCAAGTCGTCCTCAAGAGTTAAATGAGCAAGCTCATATTCTTGAAGCTGCTATTGAGGCATCAGCGAATGCAGTCATCAATCTTCGGGATGTTTTAAATGAATGGGATAGCAAAGTAGGAGATGGCGATTGTGGAACAACAGTAAGTTCCCTTTCTAAAGATGAGTCGACATCAAAATTCAATATTAGTAAAGTTTTTATGTAACATGATATGGGAAACTCCTCTATTCTACAGATGTTCAGAGGTGCAACAACCATACTTGAGGACATGAAGAAGCAGTGAGTCTGTTTATATATTTATTTCTTTTTAAAATCCTTTCCTTATTGGTATCATCTATTTCAATAAATGCTTACCAGTTGTTTTGAGGATATCAAGGATGCTTTGCCCTTCCAAGCCACAACTATTTATATATGCTTGGTGCAATAGCATCTCTTTTCTTCTTGCTTCTTTGGGTATTATTTACTAATTATTACAAAGAACCATTTGCCCAAGAGAAAATAAATCTTATGGTTCACCCGACTAAGTGCAGCAAATTCTTGTCAACAAGTTTTTGTCACTAGTTGTGTGATGGATTTTGGTTTCTTATTAGGAATTCTATGTCCTTAGGTCTTTATTGGATAATGAACTTCTGGAATTTATTTGAAATGTTCAATGTCAATTCATGTTTCCTTTCAAAATCTAATGTATATCTCGAATTCCATTTCCTACAGGGGTTCTTATGATATCTAATTCTGAAGAATGTTCATATAGGAGTTTGAAATGTTATGTAAATCAGAGGGATACATGCTTTGTTGCCTAACTCATATAGCTATTGCTTACTGTTGATGGGGCCTCTACTGTGTAAATCTGATACAGCTTACTCTTTGAATGTTAGGTTATGGTTGACAGAGTTAGTATAGATTTTATCATACTTGTTTCCCTCTCTTCAATCTCTGCAGTTCCTTTGTTTCATTTTTCTAGTGTATGTGCTGGATTCCTTTATAGTCTCTAGATTTTCAAAAACATTTTCCATGTCAATCATCTTCCTTGGTCACTTGAACCAAGAGTTCCATTTATCTTGTCTCACTTTGGAGGCACAAACTCCATCCTTTCCGGGAAATGAGCAAATCTTTGTTTTATTGGAATTCATTCATGGACTTTTTGGCACCCAAAAATATGTTTCATGCATGCTTATTGTTCTTTTCTGTTAAGAACGAAATCCTGGATTTTATTTGGTGAATTTCATGAAGTTTCTTTGATTGCTTTGAGGCAATTTTGCTATTAATTTTTTTCAGAATTTGTTTTTCGATAATATATTGAAAGCATAGATATATCCTTTCTTAGACGACTTCTCCTTTTAAGTTTCATTTATGAAGTCAGCAATTAAAACAAAACCTCTTTGGGTAAATTTTAGGAGCATATAAAATAGAGTAGAATGGTGGACCATCGTGTAGCTGATCCTAATTAATTGGGAAAAAACTATGACAATGATGATGAAGAAGTATGGCGCAGACCTAGTACAGCACCGGTTAGGAGGTGTGAGTTAATTCAAGTGGAAGGCTAAAAAATGGCAAGAGGTACACCCAAAAGGACATGGTTTGAAGTAGTGATAAAAGATATGGGGACTTGTCCCCTCACTGAGGGTATGGAACTTAATAGAGCTGAATGGCTAACCCCAATTAGTTGGGAAGACACTCTGATGATGATGATGATGATAAATACATATCTTATTCTAGTATATGTAAATATAATACTTTGGCCATACCTTTATTGATGCACTATAGTTAAATAAGTTAATATTTAACTCAATAATCTCATCCAAAATGGTTAATCCCCATTTCTAATTAAAATCTTTTTGCTTGATAGCTATCCCTTAAATGATGCTGCTGCAACCGTTAATGAGATAGGATGTTCTATTGGAAGGGTGATGGGAGGAACCAGTGGAGTCCTGTATGTAATCTTCCTTTTTTCTTGTCCAGTTCTTTTTTTGAGCACTATTACTTGTTGGATCGTGATGTTTACATGGCAACTTATGGGTTGTAACTTTCGAAGTATGAGAGATGCATGGAGTTTAGCCCAAGTATTGCCTACATCTGTAAATCCTTATTTTCTCTTTGTTTAAAATATTTTCATACACCTATATTCTGTTCTGCAGATATTTTCTGGGAGTTTCTTTTTTTTTAATTATTAATATTATTTCATTTTCGTGTTCTTTCCTAGTGAATTATTTGGTTAGTAGTCAAATGTAGGGATCTTTGATAGGAGTTTCTAGGGATATAGTTAAATTATTCTTGTTGCATCAAACAGATATGATATATTCTGCAAGGCAGCATATGCAAAGTTGAAAGAGAAACAATCCTCTACCGTTACACCCAAAGGATGTAAGACGAGATTATGATCCATTATACATATCACTTTCTTCCTCTTCTTAAACCTTACTTCTTTTTTTTTTTTTGGGAATAATCTGCTTGCAGTTTTCTATATCAAGTGAATGAATATTTTAGGATTTCCAGTGCTTTTACCGAACTGACTGGAGGCTCAATGCAGGGGTGGATGCATTGGAAGCTGCAATTGGTGCTGTTAGCAAGTATGGTGGTGCTTCAGCAGGTTATAGAACATTACTGGATGCTCTTATTCCAGCATGTGGAGCTCTCCAAGAGGTTAACCCCCCTTCCCTTCTCTCTCTCTCTCACACACACACATACATATGCACCCCCGCCCCTCCCCACCCACCCCACCCCCAGTAGTCACGTGCTTTTTTCTTTTCCCTTATTTTTGCTAGTATCACCAGACCCTTCCCCCCTGCTGCCCTCTCTCTCTCCACAGACACCAGCACCTACTACATACAATTACATGTTTTTCACTTCACCCTTTTACTAGTTTTGCCTCTCTCACACACACATCAGAAATTATGTTCTTATTGTTTTGCCTTTATGTTTGCTAGTTTCACCCTTCTCACGATCCTCTCTCACACAGTAGTCATCGATGTGCGTTCTGCCTTGTTTGCTAATTCGGCACCCCATCTCTCTCTCTCTC